AATGATGTACCTAACAAACTCGCACAGATTTATTTATATGGACACTTAAAAATTATAAACGCCCCTCTAATTTGGTTGATAGATGTGTATCGTCTCACATAATTAAAGTTCTACCAATGGTAAATTAGATGTCGAATTCATCGATTCCCAAGCGTCCATATAAGTAAAATGGCGTCAAGTTTATTTGTCGCGTCATAAAATTAAAAATCATGCAAAATAGGACTAAAAATACTATATTAGCAAAGTTATAGCATGTAAAACTGAAACATGACAAGTTAGAGGACTACATTCCTAAATAGGCCAACCTAGAGGACCAAAAATACAATTAAAGTGAACTTACAGTGTCGAAGCCAGGTGCTAACTTGAATATTCCACACGAGCGGTATCTGCACAGCACTAGTTGCCAGCTCAAGACCTAATACATCCACGTTCTTCGCACGGTCCCACAGTGGTTTATTTGGATCTGAATTCGACCAACCACTGAACCCCAGACCAGAAATAATAGTGGAAGCTTCCGAGATAGACCAAATAAAATAGTATTTCCAACGAGCAGTCAACCCCGACATGTACTGATAGCTCAATCTTTTCAAGAATCCATATTCTTGATACACTGGTTCAGTAAATCGAGAGAGTGGGAAATGCGGTACGAGATATAGATACAAGCCCATACATATAGCAGCTTGTATAAGCGCTCTGAGAGTGGCAAAATAAGGAGAGGGTGATCGTCCTTGCTTTGTCGGTTGCCATATCTGCCGCAAGGTAAACATTCGGAGGTGAATTAATTAGCAACGAATTATTTAGTCGATTTTTTATTTTTTTGTAAATATAATTACCCCTTTTCTCTCGGTCCATTCTAGATAGTCTTTCATTTCGTAGACTGGGCCCGCAAAGTGACTTCCGCAGCATAGACCGTAGCCGAAGTATTCGAGTAACGACGGCAGTTTGAGGAGACGGTTTTTCTTTTGAGCCTCGCGTAAGCCTTCTTCTTTAAGCAACCCGTCGTTGTAATTAATGACACACGATATGATTTTCAGTGTTATTACCATCAGGGCACCTGCGAATTGGGAAACAACAAGACTTTAAAATAACAAAGTCTCGATTTTTATTTTACTTTTCCAAAAAAGCAGACTTTTCTTTTAGCAATCCACAAAGTTTCTTGCGAAAATGACTCTAATACAAAGAATTGGGATTTAATATAATAAACGTAGAATAGCAGACATCGAGAATCACGAGCATTAGAATCGTGCTACTTCTCCAATTCTTTCTAGTCGTATTCTTTTTCTTCTTTCTGTGAAGATAAAATAATTCGGAAAAAAAAGATACATTATGTGCCTTCAGAACGGCGAGATTTGTACTGTTCAAGTACCGAAGCAGATTTTACAAGCATATAAAGCAACTAAAACACCAGCTCGTGAGAATGAAAAGCCGATTCATTAATTTAACATAAAGAAACTATAAACAGAAAAAATCAAGTGAAATTGCCCAAAAAAACAAAATAGTCAAGCATTTGGAGACTATTTTGTGTTTGAAAATAATTTCTTTTTGTTTTTCGCTTTTACGAAATTCAACGCAGATAAACAGATTCAAGAATAAAGACGAAACTCGAATACATTAAACGAAGCAATCATAAAAAAATACGAAGTGGATGTACGGTACTAACCTGTAGCATCGATACCTCCTTCCTTCCACGCATCACCGCTCATGTAGTACACATGGCTACACATTTTACATAAAGATTTAAATTTTTTTTTTTGTTTTCAAAACCTCGTAAATCATAATATTACTATCAATGTACCGACTTTCGTTGTATGATCTTTCCATCGGAAAAAAAAAAAAAAAAAAAAAAACAACTGCTAATTGATCTAGTAAACATCTCTACCAAACAAAATCAACTTCTCGGAAAAAAAGAAAAGCAAAAAAGAGTGGTGAATTAAATGTCACTGAATAACTAATCAACAGTGGATTCAAATTCAATTCAACAGCAGTTCTTAAATTAACTAATTAATTGATATTAACCCATTAATCTAAAATTTAAATTAAGATCCAGAGAAGTAACGCACCATCCAATGAGGTAACCGAAGCCGAGGAAGAAAGTGACGATGCCGCAGTACTTCCGGCAGAGCACCATGGAAGCGTAGCCCAGGAGCATCGGCACGACGAAGTGCAGGTTCGACGAGAACCCGAACGAGAGGTACGAGAGGTACGCGCCGGTGGCGGCGGCGTAGAGGTGGCGGGCGGCGGGGCCGCCGGGGACGAGGCGGTGGAGGAAGCTGACCGGGATGGTGGCGGCGAAGCAGAGGAGGAAGCGGAGGACCGCCACCGAAACCCCAATCGCCGACGCCATGGAATCCATCTCCATGATTCGGATTGGGGGAAATCTGTCAAAACTAACTCGGAATCTACGACGACTGAGTCACTCACTCACTCACCTCTGGCTCGTGAATCAATGTGTATTTATTGTAGGAGACAATTGGGTTTTTGAAAAATTCATGCTGGAGATTTTGATGAGACAAAAAAATTTGGTGAGAGAGAGATTTGCTTTGGGCTTTTTTTGCCTCAGGTTCTTGGATTGGCCGAAGCGCACGTGGGTGGGGGGTGGGGTGGGGGGTAGGGGTAGGGGTGGGCGGGGGGTACAATTGTAATTTGTAAGACCTGATCTAGGTTTTGTTGCATTGTTTGTATCGGACAAGCTGTCTTAAAACAAGAGAATTGCTATTTGCACCCTCCCCTAAAACTTCTCTTGTCTCTCTTTTTTGAACCCTACAAACTCTCTTTTAACACCATGTTCTTTCAATTACTCCCTTTTAATTTTTGTGTTAATTGATTCGGTGGGTTCATACCTAGAAAACGGGTCGGTCCCGGACCCACACATTGAACCCGTATGTCAACGGGCAGTTTACGAGTTATATGTATTGAAACTGGGATAATTACATTTTTCGTCCCTAGTATTTGGCCCGATTTCACTTTCTTTCCTTGTTGTTTCGAAGTGGACAAAATAGTGAAATACACATTAAAACGTATATTTAGGACACATTTGGTCCACTCTATCCCACGTCCACTAGCAACTCGTGAAAAGAAAAAAATGAATGCCACTTTTGGTCCCTAATATTTGTCACAATTTACTTTTAGTCCCGGGTGATTCAAGGTGGACAAGATACACGGAGGTTTTGCACTCACCCCCCGTGTAATGTCTACTTGCCGAAAAGCCCCATGTCACATGGTCATACATTATGAGACTGATTTTGTGATTTCTACATGAATATACCTAAATACCCTTCAAATCAGCAATTTGAAAATAAGAGATTCAATTCAACCCAAAAGTTTGCTCTAAAATGTTTTATTTTTCCTTTTTTTTTTATATATTTTCAATTAAGTACCTAATATTTTGGCGACAAATTAACTTTGATAATTAAAACGGTTTTAGCGAGTATACCTATCTATACTCTAGCTTGCTCGAAAATTCTTAAGTTTGTTACTCGAAGAATTGAACAACTTATGTCCCGATACCAGGAGTTGTGCTTAATCCGGATGAGACGGATTCTTTGGCTGTGTTTGGTAAGCTTTTGGGCTTCCATTTCCATTTTATTTTGGGGAAAGATGTTTTGGGAGAAGAATTTGAAAATTAAATAAAGTTTGTTTGTGTTTTGGGAGGAGACAATTTGTACTGTAGCAAGTCAAATCATGTCTGAAAGGTGTTGGAAAAAGGTATTTTGGAAGAAGAATTTAAAAGATAAAGTGATTTGATTTTGTATTTTAGTGAAGACAATTTTCACTGTAGCGGTCAAATCATGTTTGTTAGAGAGAGAAATATTTGAATTTGTTTTGGGGAAAGTTTTTGAAAATAGTGTAGAAAGATAATTTTCGTTTTGGGGAAAGTGTGGAAAGAATTCGAAAACCGTAACAAACATAGCCTTTAATTTTCACTCTCAAAGACTCTGGGGTCTTTTGTACCAATGAGTAATGGGAGTTGATTCGTCATAAAGGAGTTCTCCGTCGATGGCCAAAACGTATTTGGCAAAATTTTCTCCCTTCCAAAACGTGTGCATTCATGTGGGGTACAATTGTAATTTACAGGACCTGATCTAGGTTTGTTGCATTGTTTGTACCGGACGAGCTGTCTTAAAACAAGCAAATTGCTATTTGCACCCCCCCCTAAAACTTCTCTTGTCTCTCTATTTTCTTTTTCACCCCTAGAAACTCTCTTTTAACACCACGTTCTTTCGGTTACTACCTTTTATTTTTTTGTGTTAATTGATTCAGTGAGTTCATACTTCATACCTAGAAAACGGGTCGGGCCCGGACCCACAAACTGGCCCCGTATGTCAACGGGCGGTTACAGGTTATATGCATTGAGATTGGGAGAATTACACTTTTGGTCCATAATATTTGACCCGATTTCACTTTATTTCCTTGTTGTTTCGAAGTGGACAAAATACACATTAAAATATCAATTTATGACACATTTGGTCCACTCCATCATAGTGTCTATTTGCCGAAAAAAGTTATATGTTTAACAAGAACTCCCCAATGATATTTAGTCAAAATGATAAAACCCCACGACACATGGTCGTGCGCTATACTCGCATGTTGTGCGACTGATTTTGTGATTTCTAACTTGAATATACCTAAATCCTTTCAATTCATCAATTGAAAATAAGAGATCCAATTTACCCAAAAGTTTTAAGCCT